GCCCGGCGGCCCGCGGCCTACGCCGGTGCTCCTCTCGGCTGGCAGAAACGACCTTCAGGGCCAGCGGCAGAGGACTGCGGGCAGGAGGAGGAGGAGGAGGCCGAAGAAATATAGGTTGTGGCCACTTGGATTGGCCAGCAGCTCACTATGGTGGGCACAACAACCAGGGCGCTGCTCCTTTTCGCGCCGTTTCAAAGTTTGGTCAGAAGCAGACCTCTGTCTGCAAGCGGCGCAAAGCCACCCTTTGCCCCCCTTGCGCCACCTGTGCGCCCGCCTGGTGTTACCAAATTCTTCCTCAGGAGCCAAAGGGGGCGGAGGAGGGGGGATCGGAGGCGGAGGCACGTCGATCTCCCAGGCGGGCAGAACTGCGGCCGCTCCTGCGGATGGGTTTTAACTCTTAGCTGGCTTGGCGAGTCCTTTAGATCCAGCCTTCGGCGCAACCGTAGGCCAGAGTCGAAGGTCGAAGGGCTTCCGCTACACATCTGAGATAGTTCTTGAACTTGCCGCTTGCGCAGCTTGCTGCTCGAACTCGTTAACACTCAACTGGTGCTGTCCCTGAAGGGTTCCCCCCCGCGAGTTTCAACAGCCGCGCGCTCCTCTTAGAAAGCCCATCAGGGTGATACAGGTTTGAACATCCCACAAGATTCGGCGGCCCCTTCGGAAGATTACCCATCGCGAACCTCAGCCTATTCTCTTCCAGCATAGGACGTGGCATATGTGGCGGCCATATCAACCCATCGAAGTACAGGAATGAGGAAAAGGGAGGAGGAAGATGAGCAGGAGGACGGAGGAGGAGGAGGAGGACAAATCGGAACAATGAGGCATGCGGAGAGAAGTAATTCCCAGGCGCGTTGTCATGAACAACGTGGTGCCGAAGCACGTATCAAGGGTCTGGAACAAATGTTGAAGCATACATGGTTGCGCTGGCTTGTAATGAGTGCAATCCTACCCAGCAGGAAGCATTCTCGGATACTGTGTTGTGGGTGGCCCGTGGAGCCTCCGAACACCTCCACCTTGGCAGCAGAAGGAGGAGAAGAGGATGGGGAGGTGGAGGAGGTTCTAACAGAGCTGGGGGGGGCCTTGCGAGGACGAGGAGGACGAACGGGATCACGAACCAGTTGGGGGCGGCTGGATCGATTGTCCCGCGATTTGTCATGCGAGTCTGCTAAAACATGAGACCATGTCAGGGGTGCGAGGAGGGGGAGGAGATGGAGGGAAGGAGGAGGAAGGAAGAGCAAGGCGGAAGGAAGGAAATAAGACAGGAACGGGCGATGACAAGGAGGCTCTTGGAGGACTCGTAGGGCAACCTTGGAGCCGGCTTGGGGTTCCCGTGGGGCCTTTTGGCGTACTCTTGGGAATGTTTTGGGCCTCGTGTTGGGGGTCTTGGGACCCTCTGGGCGGTCTTTGGGGGCACTCGTAGAGTTGTCTTGGGCCCTCGCCGGCCCAACGGACCCGTGGAGCCATGAACGCCGGCAAGCGCGAATGTCTTCGCGATGTGTCTTACGAGCTTTCCAAACACCTCTCGGGTATAGCCAGGACCCCAGGTAAGCTGTGGCACGCGCGAAGCGTGATACGAGGGGGGTCGTCTTGACAGGGGTCAAGGGGGGACCTTGGGCCCCGACCCTCCCGAAAAAAAATCCTAAATCCAGGTATTTCGTCATCTGTTTTGTATGATTCGCTCAATAAAAACAATGACCCAACGAGAACACTCGACCATCGCACGCTTAACATGCTGCACAATCCCCATCACACTGAGGAGGTGGAAGAAGGGGAACAGTACGAGGAGGACCCGGATGAGGAGGAGAAGGAGGCGGAGGATGACAAGGAGGAGGAGGAGGAAGATGAGGAGGCTGCCGCTACTGTGATTTATGCCGTCGGCCGTGCTTGATGTTGCTGTCGGCCGTGCTTGATGAATGCTGCTGCTGCTGCCGCCGCCGCTGCTGCTGCTTCTGCTGCCTCGCTGCTTTCGGCCGCCCCTTTTTCCACGAGCCGTGTTCGGCTTGCGGGCTGCGCGCCGCTGGCGCCGCGGCCCTTGGGCCCTTGGGAGGAGTAAAACAATACAGGTCGGCCATCTTGGCCCTCCTCCACCCCCTTTCCTTCGATGGCGAGGGGGTGCAGGGGCGCGAAGAGCGCCGACCCGTATTCTGTTTCACCTCCCACTCTCCGTCCGGGCCATGGACTTGCTCGACGAGCTCCTGGCCGAGGAGACTTGACTGATAATCTGATAATGGGAGGAGGGGCAGGCGGGAGAAGCGAGGGAGAACGATGACGGAGGAGGGGGAGGAGGATGATGAGGAGGAGGAGGTGGAGGATGAGGAGGAGTGGCAGGGGGAGGCGGATGACGGAAGAGAAGGTACCTATTCATCGCCCCTCCACCTTCCGCACCCTCCTCGTCTTCCATGGCCCCCCCCCCATATTCCTCCCAGCCTCGGCTCAGTAGTCGCCGTCGCCTCGAAGCACCTCCGCCCGCGGGGAGGGGGGGGGGGCGCCGCCAGGAGAG